TAAAAATCCACCGAAAAGCATGCATATCTGGGAGGAAGAGTATATGTGCTCATTAATTGATTGGCTTGAATCACTTGTCAGGCTAGTTAATGTATTACTGAGTAGGGCCCTGGAGAAATGGAACACAGGCAAGAACATTCAGATAGAGAAGGGCATGAGGGTTTCATGGCAATGCCAAGGTCAGCATGAAGGCCAGACAATGGGAGGAAGAGAGGTGGCAACAGGAAATAAGAGAAGGAAGGCCATGGAAGAACTTTCACTGATTTCATCAGGTTGACCTCTTCCTTCATGGAGATTTCTGAATCCTTCTCCATTACATACTAACATCACGTTCCAGCCCCTCCTGGCATACAAGAGCTTGTATGTCTTGGCCTAATATTATCTGCCCAACTGTCTCCCTCATGACTTCAGGCATCTTCGTCCGCGCATCCTATGCTGAGTCATGCCTTCCTGCTTCAGGTATCTCCTCCACTTCTAATGGCCTTCTGCCTCCTGTACCCATTCCTCTTAAAAACACTTTGGTACCAGGTCTGGCAAGATTCTTATCTGCAAACTTAATCATCCGAACACCACCCCATCAAAATAGTTCCTTCAATTTGAATCTTTAAATCCATAGATTCAGTTTATTCCATGTAATCTGTTGTTTTGCTTATACAACCTATAACCAAATGTCACAGGTTTCCCAAACTTCCAGGATTATCCTTATCATTTATATAAAAATAAAAATAATCTGTTCCCAGCCTATATAATTGCACAAATTCCATTTCTCCCGCTGGTATTTTCAAAAATCCCTTGGAAATGTTTACATATTCCAGAAATTCCCCTGGTTGCCGTTTGCCCATTCTCAAGCTGGGTCACTCTGGACGCTTGTCCCATGTCGCCTCCTCTCCTCATGATTGCTTCTCCATGATGCGGCAGCTTTCTCCGATTGGCTTCACCCCAAAGCTTCAACTTGCTTTACTCCCAAAGAAATAACAAACAAGGGCTGTTGATGTTAATGAAAATGATTCAAATTTTTTTGAACACTCACTTTTTGCCAGATTCTCTTCCAAATGCTGTATGCATATTTGTTCACTGAGTTTTCACTGACAGCCCTATAGGCAGACACTATTATTATCTTCACTTTAAAGATAGGTCAATGGAGACTCTAAGAGGTTAATTTATCTATGGCAACTCACACTTCAGGTAAGTAGAGGAGCTGGTATTTATATTATATTGTATTTTCATTTTTATTCACTTTGAAATATTTAATTTCCTTTGTGATTTCTTCTTTGATTCATGGATTATTTAGAAGTATATTATTTAATATGCAAATAGTGGTAGCTTTTCTAGATAGTTCATTGTTATTAATTTCTAATTTAATTACCGTATGATCAGAGAACATACTCTATATGACTTCAATGCTTTTAAATTTACTAAGACATGTTTTGAGACCCAACACAGAATCTGACTTGGTAAATGTACTATATACACTTGAGAAGAATTGTTAGGTATGATGTTCTAGAAACATCAATTAAGTCTGGGTGATTATAATGTTCAGTGATATTTTTTCTAGTTATTCTATCAGTTGCTGAGAGAGTTAATTAACATTTTAAAATATGACTGAGGAAATGCCCATTTCTCCCTTCACATATATTGAAGCTCTGTTATTTACATATTTACATTATGATTGCTATATCTTCATGATGATATGTTATTATAGAGTTCCCTTTTTATCACCACTAATTATTTTTTTTCTTGAATTATATTTTATCTGATATTAATATAGCCACTCCAGTCTTATGCCTACTATTTCTGTAGTAAATCTTTTTCTAGCCATTTTTCTTCCTACTTGTGTCTCTGTGTTTATAATATGTCTCTTGTAGATAGCATGTATTTTTGGGTCTTGCTTTTTCCTTTTAATTAAAATGCTTCGTCCATTAACATTTAAATTAATTATTAATATAATTGGATTTGGATTACATTAAGTTATTTTTCGGTTTGTCCCCTCTAATTTTTATTCCTCTGTTTCAACTTTCCTGTTCTCTTTTGAATTTCATCTACATTTATCTATTGGTTTTTCAGATGTGCTTTGCATTCTTTAGGAGGTTGTTCTAGGGCTCTGCTGTCCAATACATGGTTGTCAGTCCCCTGTGGCTATTAAACACTTGAAGTGTGGCTAGTCCCAAATGAGCTGTGTTGTACGTATAACACACACTCTGGATTTTGAAGAGTTAGTAGGAAAACAAGTAAACTATCACATTAATAACTGTCTGGCAATTACATTTTGAAATGGTATTTTGTGTATAGTAAGTTGAATAAAATGGTTCTAGGTTGTTTAACTGTGAGTATCTTTGCCACAAACATTTTACCACACAACTAATTGACCATAAGGCAATTTTATAGTAAAAGATAAAAGAATGAAATATAAAAGAGTCACAGTAAAAAAAGACATGAATAAAAAGTTGGCCAAAGGGATTCTCCAGCAGAATAGACAGGGCTTCCTCAAAGATACATTTCTGCTTCTACTCTAGATGGTGGAAACTGCTGTTTGGAAAAAAGAATTACTGCTTTGCTTACCTAGTTTTTTGTTGTCATTTTGTACTTGTCATTTTTGTCTCTCTAACATAAATTACCCCATCAGTCCCAGCACAATGCTGCCCACACACAGGAGGTGTTGATGATAACTGCTTGCTGAGCAAAAGTTTTAAAATTTTCCTCAGAGAAATCCAACAAGGGGACCCTCACCACATAAGTCAAATACATTTGAAGACTAAAATGTCAGTGGGTTAAAAATCTGTTTCACAAGGTAAGGATGCATTTGGTGTTGCCTGCAAGAAAGAATGAGTAAGGACAAATGCGCTCCAGTCTTATAAACAAACTAGAGGCCCGGTGCATAAGATTTGTGCACTCAGGGGGGCTCAGCATGGTCTGCACCCTCTCGCAGTCTGGGAGCCCTCAGGGGATGTCTGCCTGCCAGCTTAGGCCCGCTCCCTGCCCGTCAGTCAGACATCCTTAGTGCTGCCATGGAGGTGGGAGAGGCTCACGCCACTGCCACTGTGCTCGCCAGCCGTGAGCCCAGCTTCTGGCTGAGCTGCGCTTTCCCTGTGGAAGGGCACTGACCACTAGGGAGCAGCTCCTGCATTGATTATCTGCCCTGTGGTGGTCAGTGCACATCATAGCGACTGGTCATTCTGCCTTTCAGTTGATTTGCATATTACCCTTTTATTATATAGGATATAAATGTGAATTTGACAGTTTGATCTTAATGAGAAAGATAAAACGCCCTTATATCTCTATAAGGTGCATTCCTAGATTTAGAATTTTAGTATCAAAGTATAAATATAGTTCTTATTTATAATAGGCTGCCAATTATAATTCAAAAGACTGTATCAATTATATTCCCATCAACCATGTATAGAGAGCACCACATCAATATTTGATGTTATGAATATTTTAAAATATTTTAACCATCAAACAAAATTTGATCACAAAAAATAAAAGGGTTTCAGTTGACAATTTCCTAATAATTATTAGTTCACTTTTAAAAAATATTTATTAACTATTTCTGTTTTATCTTCTTTAAATGACCTAGTTACCTAATCATAGTTTTTGTCTGTTTATTAATTGATTTGTAGAAACTCTAAATATTGTGTCTATGGCCTTTTTTCTGGTAGAAATGTTACCGATGTTTGTTTTCACAGTCTGTTGCTTGTCTTTTAAACACTTGGTGTTGTTTTGTAGAAGTTTTCATTATTTTTCTATATTCAGATAGTTCTTTTCTTTTATGGCTTCTGAATTTTGTGTTATACTTAATAGGGCCTTTCTCACTCTAGGATTAAGGGAGGGGGGGGAGAACTACTTTGCCCTAGTTCATGTGTAAATTTTGTGTGTGAGAGAAAGAGAGAGATTTAGATATTTAACTTATTTGGAAATTATCTCAGTGAATATGTAGAGTAGAAATAACTGAACTAATGCTATCATTACAAGTCCTTCCTCATTGATTTTTAAGTGCTACATTTATTTATTTACATATATATATATATTCTAAATTTTATATGGATTCCTGAATTTTAGTATTTTATTGAGGAAAACTTCAAAATAGTTATAACTCACTATTTCATGAGAGTAAACCAAGCCCTTCAAATGATGTTTAACTACTATTCCATAATTATTGTACAGCTAGATAAGAGAATATTTGGTCCTTTCTGTTATATAAAATTATTTGGCAATATGGCTATAGAGTGGTCTTATTTAATAAGATAAATATTGTCTTGATGCTGAAGTAAATTTTCAATAAAATATGCATCTAGTGTAATGTAAGTTTTTGAATCTATTTTTTAGAATTAAACAAATTTAATTTATTAAAAAGACACATGCTTCATAATGTAGCAATTCAAAATTCAAAGAACAATGAAAATAAACTAACAAAGTGGAGACAGATTTGAGGATACAGAGAACAGAGTGGCAGCTGTCAGAGGGGAGAGGGTGGGGGCTGGGTGAGAAGGGTGAAGGTGTTAAGCAAAGAAAAAGAAAGAAAGACTCATGGAACTGTATGATGATTGCTAGAAGGAAGAGGGTGTGGGGAGGTAGAAGAAGTGAAAGAGGGTATAAATAGTGATGGAGGGAGACTTGATTGGGGGTGGTAAACACACAATACAATATACAGATGATGTATTGTAGAATTGTATACCTGAAATCTGTATAGTTTTATTAACCAACTAGAGGCCTGATGCATGAAAATTCGTGCAAGAGTAGGCCTTCCTTCCCCCGGCAGCCAGCACCGGCTTCCCTCTGGCACCCAGGACCCGGGCTGCTTCCCTCCTCTGGCCGCCACAGGCACCCGGGACCTGGCTGGCTTCTCTCCACCCCAGCTTCATCAGGAAGGACGTGCAGAATGACGTCAGGAAGACATCCGCTCTAATTAGCATATTACCTTTTTATTATTATAGACATCATCTCAATAAATTAAATAAAAAATAAATGAAATAAAATACTATTCCTTTTTTTTCTTTTTCTAGCAAGCTCTTGACTGTGATCGTGTGTTTGCCAACATGGCCCCCAAAAAGAAGACTGTCAGAAAGAACAAAGGAGAAATCAATGAGATGACCATAATTGTGGAAGACAGCCCCCTAAGCAAACTAAATGCTTTGAATGGGATCCTAGAGGGAGGCAATGGCCTTAGCTGCATTTCTTCTGAATTAACAGATGCTTCTTATGGCCCCAACCTCCTGGAAGGTTTAAGCAAAATGCGCCAAGAGAGCTTCCTTTGCGACTTAGTCATTGGCACCAAAACCAAATCCTTTGATGTTCACAAGTCAGTGATGGCTTCATGCAGTGAGTACTTTTACAACATCCTAAAAAAAGACCCATCTACTCAACGGGTAGATCTCAATGATATCTCACCGCTGGGCCTGGCCACTGTCATTGCATATGCCTACACCGGAAAGCTGACTCTCTCCTTGTACACAATAGGAAGCATTATTTCTGCTGCTGTTTATCTTCAGATCCACACCCTTGTAAAGATGTGCAGTGATTTTCTGATGCGAGAGATGAATGTGGAGAATTGCATGTACATTGCTAACATTGCTGAGACGTACTCTCTGAAAACTGCAAAAGCCGCAGCCCAAAAATTTATCCGGGATAACTTCCTTGAATTTGCAGAGTCAGATCAGTTTATGAAACTTACATTTGAGCAAATTAACGAACTTCTTATAGATGACGACTTACAGTTGCCTTCTGAAATAGTAGCATTCCAGACTGCTATAAAATGGTTAGAATTTGACCAAAAGAGAATGAAATATGCTGCAGATCTTTTGAGCAATATTCGCTTTGGTACCATCTCTGCACAAGACCTGGTCAATTATGTTCAGTCTGTACCAAGAATGATGCAAGATGCTGATTGTCACAGACTTCTGGTGGATGCTATGAATTACCACTTACTTCCGTATCATCAAAACACATTGCAGTCTAGGCGCACGAGGATCCGCGGGGGCTGTCGCGTCCTCATCACTGTTGGGGGACGCCCAAGCCTTCCTGAGAAGTCCCTTAGTAGAGACGTCTTGTATAGAGACCCTGAAAATGGATGGAGCAAGCTCACAGAGATGCCCGCCAAGAGTTTTAATCAGTGCGTGGCTGTGATGGATGGATTTCTCTATGTGGCTGGTGGTGAAGACCAGAATGATGCCAGAAATCAAGCCAAACATGCAGTCAGCAATTTCTGCAGGTACTTGATCCTTTGCTAGGAATGGAAATGGTCCAATATGATCAGGAAATTGCCCTGACATAGAAGTAAATTAGTCATGTCTGTTAGCTTCATTCATTAGCTCAGTAAATTAATATTAATAAGGTGACATTTTATATATAACACTTCACATTATGTTAAGTGCATTCGTGTACTGTAGATTTCTGAATAAGCCTGTGAAGTGAGCAGAGAAGAGAGGATTATTCTGATTTTCCATGTGAGAAATCTGATGCCCAGAGAGGTTATACCCCTAGTAAGTGGCAATTCACATTTTCCCATTGCTAGCCTGCGGCTCTTCACAATATCCTGCTTTTCTGAAAGACACTGGGTAGAAATTTAGTTTTTAACACTAATGTGGTAAGAAAGATTAAAATAATACATTTATTTTAAGTGACTTATTGATGACTGTCAGATTTATAATTGGCAAATAGAATGAGCTCATTAAAAAAGTGGCAGCTAATTAATTTAAAATACTTATTTGAAGACTAATCCCAGAGAAAATGTATTTGTGAAGCATGAAGAGTAAAAAACATAGTAAATCCTTCAGAAAAGCCTCAAGTGCCATATTACTTTTGTATACGTATGATAAAAAATTAAACTTCCACAGGTATGAAATGTTCAGGAAGTCATGCTTACAAAGTCGAATATAGCTAATGAGCAAGATCTGAAAATGTGTACAGCAGATGATGAAACAATTCTTCATTTCATTGTGTTACTTTAATGGATTCAAACAATTAATGGATTTTTAGCCTTTAATTTACAACTTTAGTTAAGTTTCGATTTAGGGGTTAAAAGGGACAAAGATGAATGAACGTCAAACTGATGGAGTGAATTCTGTGTTTACAATACTTCAGGAAAGCATATTTTACTATAACTACTTATTTCCCTCCACTGATAATTCAACTATTGGTACTGAAATCACTGTTTTTGCAATATTGATTTTAATGCTTATGGTATACGTACTGTAACATTGAAAACTGAAAAAAATATATCCCTCAACTAAAATAATATTACCTACTAAAAAGTGGTAGAAAATAGACAAGTATCAAAAGTTAAGGCTTTGTTGATGCTTTTGGACACGAGTCCCATTGATCTCATTCTAAACAGATGATAGAAGACTTGGTTGAGTAATTCAGGTTACTGCTGCAGTGGCCAGGACAGATGTATGAGGGGGACTGTGAGACAGGGAGAAATCCAATTAGTCTACTTTTATCTTAATTAAGCAATGAGAATGAGCTAGGGATGTTGGTGTCTGAAGATATGTGGAGTTGACTTCAATGTGGGAGTGTTTCCTTTTCTAATTGCCACGAATACCCAGTTTCCACCCCTAAACCCACCCATAGATGCTACCGGATGAGAGATATTCGAATATAGTGGAAAGGGGAGTGGCAGACCTGTCTCTGTAGGGTCTTCTCCAAGGGGCCCAATAGAGGAAGTAAATTTATCAACAGGAGGAGGGGGTCACCAATGCCTGCCTTGCTTTCCCCCAAGTGTCACACTTTATACCCGTGGTTGAAAGACAAACACCGGCCTCTGGGCGAGGTGCTGCGCATAGTCAGTAGCCTCCTCGCATGGATGGTGTCACAGTTCCCCCGTGGTGGTTCGTGGAGTAACAGGGGTTCCCCGGCTGCCACCACAAGGCTGTCACAATTCCTCTGCCCTTCCCAGATACGATCCCCGCTTCAACTCCTGGATCCACCTGGCCAGCATGACCCAGAAGCGCACGCACTTCAGCCTGAGCGTGTTCAACGGGCTCCTTTACGCCGTGGGCGGCCGCAACATAGAGGGCAGCCTGGCCTCCATGGAGTGCTACGTGCCCTCCACCAACCAGTGGCAGCCGAAGGCGCCCCTGGAGGTGGCGCGCTGCTGCCACGCCAGCGCGGTGGCCGACGGCCGGGTGCTGGTGACCGGCGGCTACATCGGCAACGCGTACTCGCGCTCCGCGTGCGCCTACGACCCGGCCGGCGACTCGTGGCAGGAGCTGCCGAGCATGAGCACGC